TTTTGTGACACTCCCAACAGAAATACTCCAGGTGGACACCTTGAGCAATCAGGAGCTCCTCAGTTGCTCATAGCAAATCCCACCTTGGAGCTTACAAAGACTTATGGGTAGAAAAGCCACACAAAGTAATTTACTACACTGCACCTTCAAAGCTCAGAGGTCCAGGATTATCTTCTGTATCTGTGTTAATTGGTTCCCTTTTTCTTTGTTGAAGAGTGTCTGTGCAGTCTTTCTGCCTGTTCCACCATCTTAGTCTCTATATTCTTGTCTATATGAAACTGCATCTTATTTGGAGAAAGATTCATGTGATATACAAAAAAAAAAAAAACAAAAAAAAAAACCTTTTTTTTTAATCATTAACACAGGGCAATTTTAAAGGAATGTGATAACATAAATTGAATGGATCATGTGTATTAGTATGAGAAAACATGAAAGTTGCATGACATAATTATGTGATCGTATATAATAAGGCTGATTTGCTGATGATTTCTCTTTATAATATTATATTTCATTTTATTTGATAATTTGAAATCTCTGGTAAAATAAATGTGGTATGTCCTTGGCTCATCTCATAAGACATAAGGATTTTAAAGACAGCTGCATTCTGTGTGCCACCAACAAAGTAATTTGCGGTGATTCAAAATTGAATCTGTTCTTAAAGGTTTATTTATTTGGTACCTCTGGTGCCATAGTGCCTAAGGCATTTGACTGCTAACCAGAAGGCTGGCGGTTCAAACCCACCAGCCACTCCTTAAAAGGAAGGTTGGGAAATCTACTTCCATAGTGATACCACCTCGTAAACCCAAGCAGGTGTTGCTATGAGTCAGGTCCAATTCGACTACAGTGAGAGAGAGAGTTTAAAAAATACACAACTCACTGTTGTCAAGTCAAGTCTGACTCATAGCGAACCCTCCTTGGGTTTCTAGGGTGGTATCTCTGCAGAAGTAGATTACCCAGTCTTCTTTCCAAGGGGGTCTGGTGGGTTTGAACCACCAGCCTTTTGGTTAGCAGTCATATGCCTTAGGCACTAATCCACCAGGGCACCCTCAGTTTTATTTTGAAGGGCTTCATTTTATTTACACATGTATATTTTTAAAGTTAAGTAAAACTCTCAGGGCAGGGTTTTATGTTATATTTTTCAAAAAGTCTATATTCTTTAAGGCAAGATAATTTAAAACAAATGGATTTCTAAAATATATTATATATAATGAATTGATTTTTCCAAGTGAGAGGTTAAAATGCTTTATTGTATACACTCTCATATGTTATTCACCATGTTGGTCATTTTCCTGAAATACTCCATCTTTTATTACATCAAGCAGTTCCATCTACATTTGACCTAGAGACTGGATTCTAACAGGATAGAACTTACTGGAAATTTATTAATATGTAATGAGTGCAGAAGTGGTGGTAAGCATGGCACACAGATATCCATCATGGTGAGGAGTTAATATCTGTATCTGCATTACATTCTAATTGATAGCTCTGTCTGATGTTTGAAAAGCGTTAAATTGCTGATGTACATGTGATGGAATGCCTATTGTCAGGCTAGAGATGAAAACTCTGCCTCATCATTGCAGTTGGTTTTTAAATGATTTGTAGAGAAGTGACTTTGAATGTTTGCATTAGAGGTCAGAATTAGAGATCTCACACTTCTGTAGTAACTCCCGTGTGCCAAGTCTTACTTGAGCATAAACTACAGTTGTTTTTCAGTTCAATTTTTTTTTTAAAAAGGCTTTAGAGAGACTCTGACTCATTAAAATGGGAGAAAAATTCAGAGAACTGCATTGGGACAGTGTCTGAGTAAAATAATCAATAATGCATGAATTGAACAGTTAAGGAAGTAAATATAATAAAGTCATGTCAGAATAGCAACAATTTGTTGATGCTTAAGCCAAAGAAGAAAAAGTTTTTACTAGTGGTACAAAATTACACTTTATAATGTACATTAAAATAAAATGGATTAAAGGGTATTGTGACATCAGTTTACAACTAAGCAGAAGTCATATTTTAGAAAACTTCAAATTAACCTTGGTGAATATGTATTCAAACATCACTTTTTTTCCCATCCTCACAGAGTTGTTCATTTTGGGGCTTCAGTATCCTCTTCTGTAATATGAAGGATATAGAATCAAGGATTTTAGAAATTATGCATTAAGGTTTTTTTCTGCCCTCTAGTATTTTCTTCTAACCATTTTCCTTAAAACAAATGTAATATAGATTTTTCTTTCTCTGTCATTTAATCAACCACTGTATAACCAATCAGAATATTTATCACCAAATCCATTTATTATATCCTTTTTCTGAACATCCCCAATTTTTTTTTTCTCCTCCTTCCCATTGAGTAGATTCCAAGTCATGTTGATCCCATATGTGTCAGACTAGAACTGAAATCCATGGGGTTTTCAAGGGCTGTAAAGGTGTTCAAACCCACCAGCCACTCCTTGGCAGGTTAGGCAATCTACTTCCATAGTGATACCGCTTTGGAAACCCAAGGAGGGGTCACTATGAGTTGGATCTGACTTAGGCAGTGAGTTTGGTTTTTTGTTTTGTTTTGTTTATCTTTCAAAAGTAGAACATCAAGCTTTCTTCTGAGGCCCCTCTGAGTGGACCCAAACTGGCAACCTTTTGGTTAGTAGAAAAGCATTTAACCATATGCACCACCCAGACACTCCTTGCTGCACTTTCTTAAATCATTTCCAAAACCCGGTCAAGCTAGATGGGATGAGGGAGTGAAGGAAGGAGGGAAAAGTAAAAGGAAGATGGAAAGGAAAAGAGAAATAGTCTGCAGAATCACTTTTGATTCTGTTTTAATACACAGTGCCAAATACCCACCTGCACAATAACAGTTTTTGATATCATATGTGATGTTTTTATATTCGCTATAAATACAGACTAAAACTTGAAAATACAAGCTACAGTCTATGAGCACATATGATGTATGTGTGTGTGTGAATAGTATACATTCTCCTCTACTTCTCCATAGTACCTTGTAGAGTTATATCATTACTTCTACATTTCTGAATTTACTTTTTATTATTATTATTATTATATTATTATTATTATTACCAATATTTACCTCCTCTCCTATCAAAAGCCCTTCAGAGGTCACTTTCTTAGGGAAACCTTGCTGGTATTTTCAGCTAATATCAGTCATTATTGTTTCTGTGCTTCTTGGCACTTTGCGTATTTTAACTTGCTTATTTGTTTATGGATTTATCTCTATGGTTGGAATGTATCCTACTTCGGAAATATAGACCCATTTATCTTTGTCTTCTTTGCCTGTCCCAGTGTAGAGTGTGCAGCTGATATTCAGTAATTTGGAGGGACCTCAGTTTTTTAGTCAACTTTCAGTAAGAATGAATATTAGTTTAGCATATGAGAATATTAGTGCAACATGAGAATTCTTTCTACACAGTTAGCAATTTTTTTATATTGAAAATGTAATATTCAGTTATGTTAGAACTTTCTTAAAAATTCAGGATATTTTAATTATATGGTCTTCTGCCAGCCAAGAGTGGAGTCGTGTATGCCTACAGTTCTATATGCAATGTTGCTCTTTCTCATAAGTCCTTGTTCATATCTTTTTCATTATTGTTCAGTTGTCAGCTACCACCCCTAAGGCAGTTAGCTAATCAAGTGTCAGTTGAGTCTCAGTTTTTATCCACCATGGTGGGGTGAACAGAAATATCATAAAATCTAGTGAGGGACCTAAGAGTCCAGCTGACGTGACAAATCAAATACACAAAAAATGTAAGTGTAAATACTCTTAATCTGCAACCATAATACACCAGTGGGTTACTGAATACAGTGTTAAGACCACTTGCAGTTAATTAGTCAAGTTATTCTAACCCACTCTGCAGGGCACAGCCAACTGTCATCTAGAACTGTGTAGGGGAGAACAACCTCCATCTGCCACTTCTCTAGCAAGGTTATGAAACCAAACTCTCCCAGCCTGGCAAAAGCCTTCCTCTTTGGACTTCTGCCATCCCAAACATTTATTTAAAGTTCACCGAGCCAGGCCAATTCATGTCACTAATTCCTTGAAACATCTTGGTCCTCTGTGATAGCTTTAAATTTTTCCAATCCTTTTGGTAACTTATAACTATATAATACACCATATTTTGTTTTGCTATTTCATTAGAATTAGTATTTTGAGCAGTGATTCTGTTTATTCCTATCCTGAATTTGTGTTTTCAAAATTAAGTCTGGTAATATAAATCATTCCAGACTCTCTTTTCCCGTTAATTTACCAAATTATAGTTTTGTTGCTTTTGCCTTTGAATTTGTTTTTTTAAATGTTTTATTGTGATTTGGATGAAATTTTACAAAACAGATTCGTTTCACCTTCCACAGTTTGTGCACATTCTGTTTTGTGACACTTACTACAATACCACAGCTCTCCTCCTACTTCCTCCTTATGGACACTCCTTCCATGTGTCCTTCCTGCCCATGCCTTCCTGCTTCCCTAGGTTTCTCCTTGTGCAAATGCTGCCCTTGTGATCTTCCATGGTTGATTGTTCTAAGGAGTGTGTCTTCCTAGTGTAGTTGTTCAGCCTGTCTGTTGTTTGGCTGAAAGGTAGTGAAAGGAGTGATTTACATTACCAGACTTAATTTTGAAAACACAATTGCTAACTTTTAAACATTTAAAATTTTCCCTTCAGAATAATACATTATCTATCAATATTACACAATTGTGACTTTGCTTGTTTATTCTTCTGAGCTTCAAAGACTAATAGTATATATAATTGTTAAATGTTTTCATAATCGTTCCCACCAAATCCCTTCTATTTTTATTTTTATTATCTTCTTCTATAGTTAAAACAATAAAAATAAGATTAATTAGTTAATATAAGATTTTTCTATCAGAAAGATATCTTCTCTGATTATAATTACTAAAATTTTAGAAACACTGGTATGATTTATAGTTTTGTTTTCATCTTATGAGGTTTTAGTTTGTTTAAAGAAACTACATCTCTCTTATTTTCACAGGTAAAAAAATGGCCTATCAGAAAGTTAATGTAGATCAGAGAGTTCCAGGACACTCACAGTACTTAGACAATGATGACCTTCAAGCCACTGCCCTTGACCTAGAGTGGGACATGGAGAAGGAGCTGGAGGAGCCTGGTTTTGATCAGTTCCAGCAGGAGGGTGCTGAGAATCAGAACCTGGGGCATTCAGAAACTGAGGACCTTAATCTTGATTCCATTCAACCAGCAACTTCACCCAAAGGAAGATTCCAGAGACTACAAGAAGAATCTGACTATGTTACTAGTTATACAAGATCTGCACCAAAGAGCAACCGCTGCAACTTTTGCCGCCTTTTGAAAATATTTTGCACAGCAACCATTTTATTTATTTTTGGACTTTTGATAGGTTATTATACACATAAAACTTGCCCTTCAAATGCTACATCTTCGGGAACAGATGATCCTCAGATATACCAAGAGATTCTGAAAGCAATTCAAGCAGAAAATATTAAGAAGTCATTTAGGTAAGTGTAGAAGAAATGGATTAGGAGGATGCATTACCTGGGAAAGGGATCTCTAGGGATTTCACGGGGTGGTCTTTCAGTTGTACTTTTGCCATGGTTTACAGGCATCTTGCAAGCTGAGAAACCTAACTTGCCAGCAAACCAAGAATAGATACTACTCATGGGTGTGTATGTGTGTGTGTGCAGATTTTCAGGTTTATGGCACTGTAATACAAATTCATGATGCTATTTTATTAATAATTAAAATCATTACTACTATAGAGGTTCACAGGGAGCTCTGGTAGCATAGTGCCTAAGGCATTTGACTGCTAACCAGAAGGCTGGAGGTTCAAACCCACCAGCCACTTCTTGGAAGGAAGGTTGGGCAATCTACTTCCGTAGTGATACTGCCTCGGAAACCCAAGGAGTGGTTGCTATGAGTCAGGGCCCACTCAACGGCACATAACAATAACAACATGGAGGTTCACAAGGAGCTCTAATGGCGCAGTGGTTAAGCACGTGGCTGTTAACCAAAGGGGCGGTGTTTTGAACCCATCAGCTATTCCATAGGAGAAAGATGTAGAGTCTACTTCTGTAAAGATTACAGCCTTGCAAGGCTATGGTGCAGTTCTACTGTCCTACGGGGTCAGAATTGCATCAATGAGAATCATTATAGAGGCTCAATAATTGATCTTCCAAGAAATGTTTTTTTTTTTTTTCCCTCTTGAGAAACATGGCTAGGCTAAATTGATATGTAAAGTTTGCAATATATATGTTAAGTAAAATCTAGGACATTAACCATATGATTGAAAATTTTAATGATATCAGAGTAAAATACAGCTACTTCAGTGGCTGAAGAACTGCCTCCTGTGGTCATGATCTAAGGTGGGCACTGGCAAGATGGGTCTTCTGTATCCATGAACTTTTCAGTAAGTGTGTTTCTATTTCAACATAGTGTTATACACATTAGACACTTTTAACAGTTCATCTCTCTCTTTAAGGTAAGTTTATATATGACCTCTCTAGATAGAATGTGTTTGTGTTCATTTTTAAGTTAAACTTTAAGAACATATTTAGTCTTAATTCTGATTTCTTGTGAAAAGCTTCACTCATGTCTTATAGTAACACGTGTTAGTTGGTAACTTGAAAGTTTTTGTTGTTGTTATGTTATTAGCATATATGTTGATTTTTAAAGAATCCTTTAGTTTCCATATTTAGCAAATGAAGAACTGGAAGGGGAAGACAAAATATTGGCTTCTTATATATATATATATCTTCCATACTTTCATTGATGGGTTAAAAAACAAAAACAAAAAAATTGACTGCCATCAAGTCGATTCTGACCCATAGCGACACCCCCCTTGGGTTTCCAATGCTGTATGTCTACAGAAATGGATTGCCCAGTCTTCCTTCCGAGGAGTGGCTGGTGGGTTTGAACCTCCAACCTTCCAGTTAGCAGTCAAATGCCTTAGGCACTAAATCATTCATGTAGTCTGAAGGTAGGTGGTATACATGGAATGTTGTTTCTCCAGGAAAATCCTTTCAAGCTATGGTGGTTTATTATGACCAAGATATTGGCAATTTTAGGGTTCTTCCCAGGAGACCACACTCACTGAAGATGTATAGCTTAATCCATGTCTGACATATCTGGTGTGTAGGTGTTGGTCAATTATAATCTTCTTACTAAAGATCATGTGTGAGTGAATAGTGACTAATGGGATTTTCTTTTCTTCACCTTTCTGTGTCTGCTTTTCATTATTACCTAAGGATCCCTGGAAAAGTTAACATGCAAGTAACAACACATTGCATGTTATTTTGCCAGGTAAATGTGTTTGTATTGAATTAAGCCTGAAAGAAAAGTCATTGTTTTAGAATGAGTGAATATAGTGGTCAGGATTCAAGCAGGACAACAGAAAACTCCCTGAACATTTAAAGCAGAAGACATTATAAGTAGAAAATGGTTCCATTAGTGAAGAGCTGAGAATTCTGTAACAAGGGAAAGGAAACTGAGTCCAGAGATTAGCAACAACATGAAACTATTATGAAACATAGGCTGAAGGGACAAGAGGATTGGAGTAAATTGATAGCAACTGGAAATTTCTGCAAACAAAAGATCCAAAGAAGACTCAGCTTCAGCCACCACTGAAGACAGAGACACTGAAAAATATGCTAGCTTTTTCCTTTCTCTGAGAGGTCTGGTGGTGTAGTACCTAAGGAATTTGACTGCTAACCAGAAGGCTGGTGGTTCAAACCCACCAGTTACTCCTCAGAAGGAAGTCTGGGCAATCTACTTCCGTAGAGATACCGCCTTAGGAACCCAAGGAGGGGTCACAATGAGTTGGAACTGACTTGGGGATAGTGAGCTTGGCTTCTTTCTTTTTTCCCCCCTTTACTTGTCCTCCATTCTCCTATCAGTGCCTCCCTCTGGCTGAACCCAGCAGGAAAATTGCAGATTCAGCCTGGGTCTCTCCTCTTGAAGGAACCAGCACCCTGCAAAGTAGGGTAAAATAGGGAAGAGCAAGTTGCAACTGTATCTAAGTGGCAGAAGAGATGTTATTTTAAAAGAACCAAAGAAACAAAACAGAAAAACCTTGTAAAACTTTGTTTATAGCTTTATGGTGGCCATTCATTCTATTACAAAAGTGTTTTCTGTAATTGGATCCATGAATTAATTTCTTCATAATATTAAGAAAAATTATATTTTTCCTGAACAACTGGTTATTTTTTTAAATTTATGGACAAAGGGAATCTTAGAGCGTACCCTGTTTCCCTCTTCACTTTGACTAATAGTAGATTCATGGTAAAATTTGCATTGAACTTGCATAAAATTTCATGACATGCATATTATTTACTAACTAAGCTATATTTTTATTTTGTTGCCTTATATTTCTTTGTTTTTGCCTTACTTACTTTTTTTCCCAGAATTGTATACATCTTTAAAAGCTGACTTGTCCTTTTTGCAAATAGGTAGATGGTTCTAAAATTAAAATGAAAAAATAAATATAAACAAGTATAGTTTCCTTGAAATAGACACAGCATGAGAAAAAAGCTTACATTTTCCTCTTAAACTACAAAATCAATAAAAGTAGACATATTATGAAAACAGTTAATAAATATAATCACCAAGAATTATACTTACGGGTAGTATTTGGTGGTTGGATACAGATTGACAATTATGCTCCATTAAATATCTATCATTTTCTTTTCTTTCTTTCTTTCTTTTTTAATTGAGAAACAGAACTTTCTTGGAAAAATAATTTAGATGCAAATACAATTACAGTAACTTACTCTAAATCATAAGTCCTTGTCTAAAGACAACTTTTCTCCCAATTATCAAGCTAATATATGCCTTATTATTAATTCCCGTGCTTACTAAGCCACCTTAGCCAGATTTCTGTATATCACAGATTCCTAAAGTTACTTTTCTCAATTTACAATCAATTCTGGGCTCTTACAGGCCCATTACTTTTTTTCATCGATTATCTCTCTACTCTGGTGGCCTAGGGCCTAAGGCATATGAGTGCACACATGAAATCCCTGCCTACTTCCATAAAGATACTGCCTCAGAAACCCAAGGAGGGTCGCTATGAGTTGGATCTGACTCCACGGCAGTGATTTTGGGTTTTGGTTTACTCTCTTAGTTCTCCATTCTTATCCATGCCCTAAAGCTATGTCAGGTCTTCTTACACATCTTAACACTTGACAATATATATTTTTTTCATTTTATTTTTTAGTAAGACTATATTGCAGACTCCATGAGTGAATGGGTAAACCTTGCACTAGACTCTCATCTTTAGCAAACATTTAATAAGAATTTTCTAAGTGAGGAAATTTATGAATGGATGTGAAATTGTTAGACTGATCGATTATATTATGTATTTTGAAAACTGCCTTTGTTATATTAGTATTTTTCATTTAATAATAATATATAAACAACTTATGATAATATAATTGTTATCATAAATACATTATATATTATTAAAAGATAATTATTTTTTCATATTATATATAAGTTTGTGATTACTAAGAATATGTTTGTGTTCTGATCTTAAATATGTGACAATGCATATCAAAACCGGATACTGTAAATATGTTGAAATGATACTAGTGATGCTTGAATCCTAGCTGAGCCTTTAAGACAATTGATGGTCCATTTCTAGTTGAGACAAGTGTGAAGAACTTGGGGTGGGGGTGGAGGGAAGCAATAAACCAGTTTTACAACCCTGAGATGATTATTCATGAGATGTTGGAGATGCTAAGAAATTGGAAAGTGAAGAAAGAGACTTTTGGAGAGAGCTGTCAGCATGTTGTAAAATTTCATCTCTTCACAGGGAGAAAGGCTTAGAACCAGTGTTTATGTGGGGACTATCAACAGAACTGTTTGGAAGAACTTTTTATGTGTCGTACATATAATGACACCTGAGAACTCTAAGAGATTTGAGATGGACTGTCTAGTCACTGATTGAGAAACAAAAGGATAGTGGTTGTGTAGTGACCTATAGCATAGCTTATTTCTATGGACTCTATACAGGTCATTTGAGAGAGAACTGAAGGAGAGTCTTGTAGATCTCTTCCAAGAGAACTTTCTGGAAGGCTGAATAGACCTTCTCAGGGAGAAACCAAAGGTTTAGTCAGATGCCTGGGAGCTAAGGAAGGAGTAAGCCTTAAATTCCTGTGTCAAAGAGAGGTGAGATGTCCCCAGTCATGGGATGGATGGACTTCCAAGAACCTACAAAACATGCACAAGAGAAGAAGGCAAGTGATAACTCCTGTGAAGTTCAGAGAATACCATGCCTATTAGGAGAGCACCCATCACGTGAGAACTTACTTACCCCCACCCTTTCCTATTCTCTGAAAGGAAGTAGTTCTATGAGAGAAGATATAGAAACATAAATCAGGAAATAGGCTGACTATCCTCCCTTCCATGACTGCAGAGTTAATGATCTAGAATTGGTCAAAGATGGGAAAAGTGAGAACTGTTATTGTTAAACTGAATTCAGGGTTCTCACTATCAAATGATA